CGGAGGTGGCCGTCGGGGCTGCTCTCACGACGCCGTCCTCGTGCAGGTAGCCGCCGAAGGGGTAGCCCGAGACCAGGGCGACGTGCCGCAGGTCGGGAAGCGGGCCCTCGTCGCGCCGGAGCGAGCAGGCCAGGTGAGCCAGAGCGGCGCCCTGGCTGAAGCCGACGATGCCCGCGAAGCCAGAGCCGTGCGCCGCGCGCTCGGCAGCGTCGGCGGCGCAGATGACGCGCAGCGAGTCGGCCACGCCCTGGAGGACTCGCGCCCCGCCGCTACCGCGAGCGACAGTCCACCACGCTCTGGGCGACTCTGGCGGCGAAGGCACAACACCCGCAAGCGGACGTGCCTCGACGGTGAGCGGGCCGTCGAGGAACGTGAAGCGAACGTCGCCGCTGAGAGCTTCGCGGGCTCTTCGCATCTGATGAGCCATCGTCGAAGCACTCATGCCGAAGCCGTGCAGGCACACGACCGAGAGAGGCCGCGATGGATTGCTCGCACCAGTAGCGGTAAGGCACTCGCGTTGCTGCGACATTGGAGCTGGTCGCTCACTCCAGGCGCGCGCGCGCGCGCGCGGCGCGTGGATGATGCAAAAAAAAAGCGTAATGCAGCAAGGGACCGGCAGGCGGCGGCGTCGCAGGACGAGGCAGAAGAGAACGACGCGACAGAGGAGGAAATGACAAGGGAGAGAACGACGAGAGTGGGACGACCGCGAGGTGGCATGAAGGTCGCAGCGAGAATCTGCGAGAGACTGCGAAGAGAGATAGGAAGAGGCAGACTCCCTAGGGTGGGCGACGGCTAGCGCACCACACACCTCTCCTTAAAATCCCTGTGTGTGGTGGCGGCGTGCCGTCCTCCCATCCCTCCCTTGGGTTGAGTGTTTTCTTTCTTTCTTTCTTTGGGCGCAATGTAAAAAAAGAAACAGGAATCCGCACCGCATGTCTGCATCAGACGTGTCATCCGTCCCGATCGTGACCAACCAAAGCCACCCCTCTTCTCAGATCAGTGCTTGCACCGATCCTGAATCCTCTGCCGCTCCCAGCCGTGCTCGCCGAGCCTCCGCCGCCTCCACCTCCGCCTTCAATCTCAATGTCCCACCCCCCTGCGCGCGATGGCCCGGCCGCCACCGCCACCGTCGGCGGCCGCCTCCCGCCCACCCGCACCGCCGCCCCGGCCACTGCCACCCGCGCCGCCGCCTCGCCCAACGCCGCCGCCGGCCCACCCTCCCGCCCGTCGCCGCTGCCGCCGCGCCGCCGCTGCCGCCCTCCGGGCCGCCTCCGGCCCCGCCACCTGCCTCGCCGCCGCCCACGCGACTGGCCTCGCCGCCGCCACCGCCACCGCCCTCCCCACCGCCCTCCCCTCCGCTCTCACCGCCGCCGACGCGCCGCCACGCCGCCTCTGCCTCCGCCCTTGCCGAGCCGTCGCCACCGCCCTTCTCGCCGCCTCTGCCGCCCATGCCGCCTTGGGTGCCGCCTATTCCGTGGCCCTCGCCACCGCCGCCGCCGTCGCCGCCCCCGCCGCCACCGCTACCGCCGCCTCCCGCCCCGCCACCCCCTCCGACACCGTCACCCCCCCTCCCTCACACCATCCCGGCCGGCCTCCTCCGTTCTAGCCCCAACTCCCACACACCACCACCGACCTCCCCGCGCCCCCACACGCCGGCCCCGCGCACCCACGCCACCACCACCGCCCACGTCGCCCTCCCGGCCCCCCACCCCGCGCCCCAGGCTCTTCGTAGCTCCGCTCGGGGCGTCCAGGTGCCGCCGCCCCAACCGCTGCGGCCCACGCGGCCGCCGGGCGGCGCGACGGCGGCTACCGGCCGGCATAGCCCTTCCAGCGCCGGCCGGGGGCTGCGGCGGCGCGCGGCGCGCGGCGGGCAAGCTGCCTGCTGGCGGGCGGCGCTTCTAGTCGTGATTTTAGTGCCGCGTAGGTCGCCTTTCGGCCACTTCTCGGGCGTGCGGCCGCAGCGCGGCGAGAAGGCGGCGCGCTCGGCCCGCTGGCGGAGGTGAAGCCCCCCAGAACGGAAGCTGGCGGGCCGGGGGCGTCGGGCGGGTGCGCGGCGGCACCCGTGCCACCGGGACGGGCCGTGGTGGCCCGTGTGGCGGCCGTGAAGGGCCGTTTGGTGCGCCCCGGCGGCCTCCTGCACGGCGGCCGCCGGGGCCGGTTTGGACTGTGTTTGGGGGGGTGGAGGGGTCCGGTGGCCGGTGTGATGGTCGTTTATCACCCTCCTATCACCCACTTACCGCCCCCGGCCGTGGGGGCCTCTCCAGACGCCGCCATTTATGATTTCAAAGGGTCCTGCCGACGCTCATCACAGTGCGGCGGAAGGGGGAGCCGGCGCCGCGGAGGACGAGGATGGCCGTGGCGGACCGGGACGAGCTCTGGGAGGTTCAGTGTCAGTGAGTATATTGTAGAGGCCACCCATGTGCACAATATCTTGACTGAGAGCTAAGCCAGGGGAGGCGATGCCGGGGCCGTACAGCAGCTTGATGGTGTTGCGCCGGCGTGCGTCCCGCCGGCCGCCGGGGCCGGTTTGGACTGTGTTTGGGGGGGGGGAGGGGTCCGGTGGCCGATGTGATGGTCGTTTATGGCCCTCCTATCACCCACTTACCACCCCCGGCCGTGGGGGCCTCACCGGACGCCGCCATTCATGATTTCAAAGGGTCCTGCCGTCGCTCAGTCCGAATCACAGTGGGGCGGAGCCTACCCTGCCTGTCGAGGCTGAGAGGACACTGAGACCATGCTTGCGCAGTGTCGAGGGGTGTCCACTCTCTTTCTACATACACATAGTTTTTACCCATCTGGCATCTCATGTGAGGGTGTGACCACTTATATTTACTCATCATAACCTCACGCCCGAAGGTTGGCGCGCTTGAGCCGCAGCTGCAGCGAGGCGTCGATGGTCACGAGGTAGCGGTCGCTCGCCTCGTCGTAGTCTGTCACCACTCCGCTCTTCCCGTTGTGCTCGGCGGCTCCCTGCAGACCGATCACCGCCCCCGTCGTCCCCGTGGGCAGCAACACGCTGCCGAGCGGCACAGCCTCCGCGGCGCGCCCGTCCGGCTGCAGCGTGCACGAATAGCTCAGCGCCTCCGCGTCGAAGGAGCGGAGGACAGCGCGGTCGGCGGCCGCCAGTCCCTCGGGCGCCTCTCCGCCCTGGGGCATCCGGATCTCGACGGGCAGCTGCTGCACGAGGTTGTCTCGCTTGAGGGCGAGCGTCTCAGCCGCGGCGTCGGCGCTCTCTTTGAGAGCGACTGCGTAGCGACCCTTTGCGGCGTCGAACGAGCCGACAACGCCCTCGCGGCCATTCACCTCGGGCCGCGCCTTGAGCCCAAACACGCGGACCTTGGTGCGCTGAGGAATGGAGGTGGGCGGCGCGCCGTGCTGCCGGAGGAGGGCACGCAGACGATTCTCATCCGCGCCCGAGAACTCGTCCACCTTGACGCCGCCTCGGAAGAGCTGGAAGGTTGGCATCGACCGGATGCCGCACGCCGCCGCCGCCTCTTGGTTCTCGTCGACGTCAACCTGGCAGACAGAGCTGACTCACGTGGCGGTGCACGAGACGGTGCACGAGACGCGCGGGCGAGGCCGCCTTGTAAAAGCTCACGAACGGGAATTCGCCCGAGGTGCTCATGGCTTCAAAGCGCGGCCCGATCATCTTGCACGGCCCGCACCACGAGGCAGTAAAGTCGATCGCGACCAGGCCTGCGCCAGCGAGAGCGTCGTCGAACGCCTGCTTCGTGTTGAGGAAGGCGACCATTGTGGCTGTGCTGCCCTCACACGGTAAACAGCTACCATACCCACCCCTTGTCCCGAATCCAGCCTGGTGCATATGTGTGTATGTACACACATATGGCGTCCGCCGCCCGCAAGCGCGCCCGCACCGGCGGCGGTGAGGCGGACGAGGAGCCCGTGCCGGTCGCGGCTGGCTTCGAGGCGCCCATCTTCGGCGTGCGTATCGTGGGCCAGGTCTCCACGCTGGCGCTCGAGGGCGAGGACGGCCCTCTATCGCTCGGTCAGGTTGGCGTCGCAAGCGATCACGCGGGCGCCTGGTACGTCTCGACGAAGGACTCGCTGCTGCACGTCTCGGCGGCCGGGCGCGTGCGCCGCGTGGCAGCTTTGCCGGCAGTAGGAGTCAACCGCATTGCTGCCATTCCAGACGGGAGCGCGCTGTTTGTGGCAGACTGGAGCAGCCACGAGATCGGGCGGGTGGAGGTGGCGACGGGCGAGGTGACCATCCTCGCTGGAAGCGGCGACGAGGGCGACGCCGATGGCGTGGGCGACGCGGCGGAGATCTGCTGCCCAAATGGCATCGCCATCAGCCCAGACGGGAGCGCGCTGTTCGTGACAGACTCCAGGTTCCCCGGGCCACTTTCGGGGGGCAAATCCTGCCCGGCCCCTAGAACCCCAGGTAAGGCCCAGGTGTGGCCTAGGGCATCAGAAGGGACCAAGAGGAGTCCAGTCTGAGCCATAGAGCCAAATGTCTTCGCCCTCGAGGGTCGCGTTCAAATGCCCGGACGGCCGTCTCAGTGTGGTGTCTGGCCGGCGCGATCACCGAGCTGTGACGCTCAGGGAAGCCTGATGAGGTACTGGTTTCTTTGCCCAGGCCTGGCCTTCCCCCCAGGCTGGATCAGCTGAGCAAGGTTTGGGGAGAATCCCCCGGACAGATCTTCAGATATTTTGACGGACGACCGAAAATGGGCAAAAACGGGGTGATTTTGGGACCCGCGGCCGCCGGGCGTGCGGCGGCACAACGAGTCGAACGTCGAACCGATCAGCGCAGAGCGCAAGTCTCGCGAGCGCCCGCGGCCGCCACGCCGCCGCCGTCCGCGGCCGACGGTGGTCGCGAATCAACGCGGCGCGGTGCACCGCTGCGCCTGCTTCCTTGCGCGCCGCTGGACGTCGGCCGAGAAGACCGCTTCCCTCTGGGGACCCGACTCCGCGAAGATCGCGCGCGCGTCGTGAGTGGCGGCGCGCGCGCGATCTCTGTTCCCGGGCACGCCGGTCGCAGTGGCATGGGATCCCAGGCTCAAAAGCCGGCTCAACAGCGAGCTGCTCCTCCTCCTGCCGCCGCTCCGCTCACCGAGACAACTCGGTGCCGCCGTTCTCGCCGCCGCCGCCGCCGCCGCCGCCGCCGCCGCCGCCGCCGCCTCGCGCCTTGCCTCCGTCACCGCCGCCCTCCATCTCGCAGCGGCGCGTCCCTCTGATGGCGCGGGCTCCTCGCTCGTTGGCGCCTCGCCGCTGCCCCCCCTCTCGCCGCCGCTCCGCTCGTGGCCGCCCCATCCCCTGTCAATCCCGCCGCCTCCCCTTCAATCCCCCGCACCACCGCCGCCACCGCCTCGCGCGTTTAGCGGGGGGTCAAAACTTAAAGGAGGAGAGCCGATAAAGAAAAGAACCGCGCGGGCGCACCCTTGCTCAGCCGAAAGGCCCGGCGAGCCAGCCTGCTAGTTGAATATGCTCAGCGCTCCCGTCGCGCTGCGAGGCGCCGTGCGGCGGGTCACGGTCGACCGCGCGGGCTCTGTACTTGCCTCCGAGTTTGAGGGTGGCTCCGTGGAGCTGCACGCTCTGAACGGTTCTCACCGCTGGCACCGGCCGGGCGCCGAAGGCGCAGCCTTCTTGCGGACGGCAGAGCTGGAGGTTGACTACTGCGCGCTCCTGCTGTGGCAGAGCGCTGAACCGGTCGTCGCCTTGTTTGCCACCGGCGCGTGGCTTGAGGGGCCGAGCACTCGGCCGCCGACCGAGGTCGCCCGCCTGCCAGCGCTGAGCGGCGGCGGCGGTCACTGGACCACCGCGGCGCGCGGCGATCATCTGCTCTGCGCGGCGGCCGGAAGCGTGGCGGTGATGCAGGTCCGACAGGCGGCATGCGAGGGAGGCGTGTCGCTCTGCCACCTATACACCGTGAGCGGCGCGCCCGCGCTGCCGTTTGCCCTGCTCGGCGTAGCTGACGCGGCGGGCCGGTTGAGTTCGCTCGTGGTCGGCGGCGGCTCCGAGCGCGCGGTGGCAGTCGGCAGCCTGGAGGACGGCGCCGATGTCGAGTGGAGCACCCTTCCCCTCCCTGGGCCTGACAGAGCGGCAGAGAGGGGCGCCGCGGTGGAGGATGCGGAGGGGTCGCCCGGTCCCGCCTCCCGTGCGGCCTCGGGCACCGCCTCGGGCGCCGCCTCCGAGCCGCCTTCGGGGCCCGCCTCGGGCCGCGCCACTCCCCCCCAGCCGCGGCGCGGGCGGCGCCGAGCCGCCGAGGCTGTGGGGCCGGCCCCGGACGCCATCTCGACCCTCTTCCAGGTCGGGCCGCCCGCCGAGGGCGGCGGCTCTCTCGTCGGTGCCTTGGACGGCGGTGGCCGGGCGTGGCTCATCGGGCTACGCCGTGGCGGCAGCGGCGGCGGCGGCGGCGGCCCTGTGCACTTGCTCGCTCGGCTCGATGTTGGGTCGTCCCTGGTCGCGGCAGTGGCGTGGAGCAGCCCGCACTACTACCCGGGCGGCAAGGGGGAGAGGCGCGGCGGGGCTGCCGACGCGGGGACATGCCGACTACTCCTCGGCCTCGACACCAAGCAGACGTTGCGGCTGCACGACGTGTGCCCTCCTCCCCTCTCCTCTCTCCCCTCCGCCCGCTCCCCCTCCGCCCCCGTCTCGCCGCCCCCTTGCCTCAACCCAAGCCGTCTCTCACCAACCGGGGACCGCTGTGTAGGTTGGACCTGCGAGCTTGCAGCTCTTGCGGCAGCTCGGCAAGGCCGGCGACGCCTCGCCGTCGCCAGGCGCAGTCGACGCCGAGGCCGCGGCCACCGCCTCAGCCACCGCCTTGCCACCCGCCGTTGCCCAGGCGCTGCTGCCATGTGCGCCTCACTCGCTCGCGCTCCTCCCGCCGACTGAGCTCGGCTTCGGCCCTTGCGTCGCACTCGCCGACGAGGCGGGCGTACGCTTCCTTCAGTTGCCGATGCCGGGAGGCGGAGGCGAGGGCGAGCCGCGCCCGTGAGCAGGCCGGGCGATGCTCGTGTGAAGCGGCGCGGACCCACACCGTCCCAACCATTGCGACACAGCCAGAGCGATTAACGGTACGCATACAAGATTTTAACGAGAGGACCAAAACGACTCAAAGACAAAGTCAAAAACTCCTCGGAAGATAGGGAGAAATCACGCTCGTGAAATCAAGCGAGATTTAGAGCCTGTCTAACGTTGGGAGCTGAACAAGTGTTGCTAGTTTTGTATGTGTTCACAGCTGAGCCCTGGTGTCGAGGACGAGGTGTCGAGGCCCGGTGTCGAGGGTGTCGAGTTGCTGTCGAGGGATAGAGGTGTCGAGGCCTGTCGAGGCCTGTCGAGGCCTGTCGAGGCTGAGACCATGCTTGCCAGTGTCGCGGGCGGTGTCGAGGGGTGTCGGACTAGTTGCAAAAGTCTGTGCGGTTCTCACAAAAAACTGCGAAAAATGCCGTCACGGCCAGCTCGGCACGATCTACTCAAAAAAAGTGACGTAGAGCACCCACTTTTTAAGCGCTCCGCGCACACACAAGGTCCGCCTGCGTGCGCCGCCAGCTTCCCAGGGCCATCGCGCGAAAAACGACGGAGGAGATGCATCCTAGCTGTCGCCACCGAAGGCGACTCGGCGCCGCTGAGATCGGAGACCAAGCTCTGACAGGTCACACGTCGCTCCTTTGACGCCGACGTGACTCACCCGTGCAGAGCGCATCAGGACACGGTCTCGACGCGCTTCTTACGACGCCTGCGACCCGTCTCGGGTCAGGTGGCACGACGCTCATCGCGCCTGCCAGCGCTGCCGTGCAGGCTGCCACGACGAGGTCGAGCACGCTTCTATATGCTCGCCCAGCCTTCCTTTCCATCCCACTAGGCAGCCTGGGAACGGTGGCGGTCAGAGGCAAAGCCTGCGAGGGGTGGTGGAACCACATGTCACGGCCACCGCCGGCTCGACGCGACGATAGCCTCCGAAGGCTGACTTTGAGGCACCATCATCGGACGATGTCGACGAGTTGGGTCGCTCTCGCGGTAGCCAGGTAGCCCCCCGTACTAGTATCACCAGCCATGGCCTCAGGGAGCGCGGGCGAGGGCGCTGGGAGCAACACGGACAAAAAAACATCAAAATTCATCAAGTGCTCATCATGTGCCACAGGGAGAATCGGCATCTCTTTCTTTCGTCGGAGCTCGAGGCTCGGCTCCTCGCCCAGAGCCTGCCTCGGCACGCTCTCCATAGTCTCTCGACAGTTCACAATCATAAAGCCGTACGAGCCGGCTCTTCGTGTGCAGTGGAAAAAGATAAAAGTAGTAAAGACGGAGCACGTACAGTCCCGGAGAGAGACGAGGAGAGAGAGGTCTGTCCACACACACACGGTGTCGCACGCCGTCGCTCAACACTGTGCACCGTGTTGCTACCTTCAAAGCCCTGCTAAGCTTGAGCTTGAGCACAACTTGTCACGGTTCACGCGTTTCAAAGCCGCAACTGCTGGTTGAGCTGCCCGAGCAGCTCCAGCGTATCGGTGTGGTCGGGGAAGGCATCCCGCGCCTTTTGAGCAAGCTCGAAGGCCTCCTGGAACTCGCCGAGGTTGTAGGCAAGAAGCGCGCCGTTGTAAAAGGGCTCGTACATCTGCGGCGCGTGCGTCTGCGCGGTCCGAAAGTTTGCCCTGGCCGCCTCGACGTTGCCCTTTCGCAGCTCGAGCACCCCGAGATTCGTGTAGGCCTCGGCGTGGTTCGAGTCGGCCTGCGGTTCACAGCGGCAGCTCGACGCGACTGCCCTCTAGTGGGGTGGGTGGGTGGGGGAGGGGGTAGCAGGCCCCTGGCAGGCGAGGCCGATCGGGCGGGGCGGGCAGGGCGGACCGAGATCGCAACCTTGAGCGCTTGGTACGCGAGGCCGAGGTCGCCGATCCCGATCGCCACCTGACCAATGTTGTACCACACGTCGGCCATGGCGTCGTCCGATGCGAGGAAGAGCGCGCGCTCGAGGCACGAGAGTGCCATGTCGTACTGCGACGAGTGGAAGCAGCACAGGCCGAGGTTGCACCACAGCTCAGTGTTGCGGATCCCCATCTGCAATAGCCGGCGGTAGAAACGCAGCGCCAGCTCGGGCTGGCCAGAGTAGAAGTGATTAGCCGCAATGCACGCAATGGCCTCGACGTTGGACGGATCCATGCCTGCCACCCGCTTGTAGCTCTCCACCGCGAGCGGCAGCTCACCCAGCGCCTCGTGCACGCGCGCCACGCCGAGCAGCAGTGCCGTGTCGTGCGGGTACCTCTCGGCGCCCTGCTTGTAGATGAGAAGCGCGGCCTTTGGCTGGTCAAGGCGCAGGCTCACGTTTGCCAGCTGCAGGTACGACGCCACCATTGGCTGCGTCTTGACGGATGCCGCGTACTGCCGCTCTGCCTCCCGGTAGAGGCCGAGCTGGTAGTAGCACTTGCCGAGCCGCTCCTTCCACCACCAGTCCTCGTATCCCGCGGCGGCGGTGCAATGCGCCGCGAGCTCGAGCGCCTTCTTGGGGCTGTGTTCGAAATACAGCAGGTACTCGAACAGCGCGCGCGACAGTGCCGGTCGCTGCGCGTACTTTCTCAGGTCAAGCCGGTCCACGTTGATGAACGGCCCACCCGCTGCCGCCACCAGTGAGGCCGTCCCGAGACGCACCAAGCGACCGAGCGCAGTCATCGGTCGCGACGTGCCGGGGCGGATCCCAGCCGGCGCGCCTGACAACCCCACTCGCGAGTCTGGACGAGCCGACCCCGTCCCCGGCCTCGCGAACCCAGACAGCGGCCGTCCGCTCGCCGAGACGGGCCGCATGCCGAGGCCTGGCTGGCCAGGCGCATTGGACTGGGTCATGGGACGCGTCAGAGAAGTGCCCGGCCGCGGTAGTGCGGCTGTGGCGTTCTCGTCGAGCAGGGCGTCCGCCGTCGCCTCCTCCTCAAAGTCGAGGTCGTCGATGAACGCCTGCATGGTCATTGCGCGGCACTTGAGGCACCACACGGCCTGATCGTACGGATTCTCGCCCAGCAGCGCAGTGCAGAGGGAGATGCACGCGTCGTACTGTCCCCGGTTGAAGCGGTGCAGCGCCGCGAACACGGGGTCGACTCCGGCAGGGATCGCGGCGCTCGAGGCCGCCGTTTCCATCTTGCGTTGGACCCTCGTCTTTTTGGGACGCGTCCCACGTCAACTCGCGTATCTGAGCCACAGAGCATGGGCGCGTGAGAGACGACTTGCCCCCGGCCGCGCCGGGAGCGGGCCACCCGACGGGGTGCACTATGTCAAAACCCCACTGAGAAATTATAAATTTCTCTAGAGCTGGTGCCGCCACTAGATGAAATGCTCCACTGGGCCCCCGGAACACGCCTGCGCGGCGGTGAGCAGTGAAGAGGCGCGGAAAGCTGATTTTTTTACTTTTGGACGCATTTCGGGCTCCGTACTGGTTGACGCAGAGCCGCACGCGTCGACCGGCGCCGTTCGCGACCACGAGGGCGGATGCTGGCCATCCCGGGCTCTGTGCACATCAGCAGCGCGCGTTCTACGCGCTCCGCTATCCAGATCTTGGCGAACCACCTCGAAAGCGCCGTTTTTATCTCGTGCAATCTCGAGCCGTGGAGATTAGGCCGAGATCGCTTTGAGCTGCGGGAGATGTTTGGGAGATACAGCTACAGTCACACGGACCCGCGGGGCGTGCGCAGCTCGCGACGGAGATGTTTACAGAGCCCGGGCTCGCTGCGAAGCGGTGAGCGGCGCCCGAACGGCACCGGGCCGCGTGCCGCTCTCTGCAGCTCCGACGCGGCCGGGCGGCTGCCAGAGCCGCACGCGCCGACCGGCGCTGTTCGCGACCACGAGGGCGGATGCTGGCCATCCCGGGCTCTGTGCACATCAGCAGCGCGCGTTCTACGCGCTCCCCTATCCAGATTCCGGCGAACCACCTCGAAAGCGCCGTTTTTATCTCGTGCAATCTCGAGCCGGGAGATTAGGGGAGATCGCTTGAG